TTTTTTGGTAAAAAGAAGTAACTTTGAAAGAGAAACATTGTTTTTTTTTAAATTTTTAATGCTTTCCCGCATCTATCGTTTTCCCGCATTCATCGTTTTTATTTCCCACCCCCGCCAAAAACGATGCATCGAGGTTTCACTGTACTTCCACAAGCTTCATTTCATCTGCCAACAACTGTATTACTGTAAACTCTTGCATATCCATAAACTACTGACATGAGATATTTTCCAGAGAATAGTTCCACTTCAAGCATCATCATATTTCACTGATCAGTAGCAACCACACTGAATATGGATTCACAGCTGATGAATGTTTCATCATTATGAAATTTATCCTAAACACAGACCCACAGCTTCGAAAACTATAAAACTGGAAAAAATTCATTTCATCATTACAGCAATGATATTAAAATCCTACTGATTACTGCCTCATATTTGTATACTGATTTGGTACTTCATGGGTACATCAGTCTACAAGAAGTTAAAAACATTTTTAGCATTACATTCATATTCTGAAGGTAAAAGTCATAGCTTACCTCCTCCACTTCCAAAAGACAGTCTATTAACTCCAATCCAGCCAGAGTGTACATCTGAGTCTGTTTTTTGTTTCCCAGTTCCACACGAGAGAAGCAATTACTTGAAGGTTTAAAATAGTGAACAAGTCTTTTCAGAAAAGTGCGATGATTTGAGTCTTCAAGCTTTTTCAAAAATTCACTGCGACTCTGCAAAGCATTCATAAAATATTAAGATAATTTTAACAGCCATTCTTCTAAAGTATATACTATTAACAATTTTCTGCAAAGTATGTGTAGTAAATATCCTAGAATTATACTATGTATTAACAATAAGGTTTTGCAGTTATAAATTAGAGGAGGAGAAAAGTAAAACTGATTTCACAAACATTTCCAAAAGTTTATTGGTAAATGGTTCTGAAGTCAAATTACAAGGCTTGAAGAAAAAGTATGGTTAATGATCTAATGATCGAATACCTGTACGGTCATTAATTCCCTTCAAAATGCTCCCCTCTGGCACACACACTTGTTTTAGTGCTCCTGCCACCATTGAAAACATTTCTGGAAGTCCTCTTTAGAATCACTTGCAGATAGCGTGTCATGTTGGAAACTGATAACTTCAACCACGTCATATCACCTCCCTTTCGTTTCTTTAAATTTATGGAACAGCCAGTAGCCATACAGTGACAGGTTGGGAGTGAGCACAGGAATGTTTTTATTCATCAAATAAGTTTGTATTCTTGTATGCCTAAAAACTACCAAAGCCTTGAAATTTGACTCATAATCCCTAGCATTTTGACAAAATTTTATATTCTTAAATATAAATAAATTTTCTCCTTCATAAGACATTACAACCCAAATATCTAAATGTATTAATCTGTTCTGATGCTCATCATTAACACACATTCTTGCTAATTGGTTGTATCCCTGTACAAGCCATATTCTTTAACTTCTTTTCTAGTCATCTCCATGGAACATTCTGCAGCTATGCTGTTCCAATGTGAATAATAATATTCTAGAATTACCTTCAGAACTGCCCTCACTATATTCCAGTTCCAAGAGAAACCATCTTTATGAGTCAGCACAGCAGAGTCCTTCAAAAAGTCATCACCTTCTTTTGGTGCTACCAGCTGAAATAATACCAAAACTGTTATATCATCTATTTCAACACATATTTAAATTTATTTTACCCAAATGTTCATAGAATCAGACAAGGTTGTTACTTACACTAAACCAATGACAAATGCTTGGGCCAAGTTCAAGGGCAATACTGACAATGACACAATATCCCAAAATAAGTAATTTTACCTCTTACTCTTTCATGCAGTTTAATTCATCCACACAAACATGAAACAGCTGAAATACATTTGTTATTATTAAAATACGTGTATTGTTTCACTATATCAAACTCATAATGCAGCACTCCCTAACCAATCATGAAACAGACCGATTACTTTGCCATAAACAAAAACAAGAAACCTTCTAATTATTAAGCCACACCCTAGTTTTAGTGCACAAAATTTTTGAAAAAGTGTGTGGCTTACAGTCACGTAAATACCATATAATTAATTGAAATACTATTCCAACATTAACCTTTTTGAGTTGGTCAACACATGACTGTATTAACCCATTAAAGCCCAAGCAGTAACTACATGTACCACCTACTTTAATAATCAGTAGCTCTGTATTTTGTCTGGTGTTTATTTGTGGATTTTATATGATTTCAGAATAATCAATTAATCTCTGTAATGAAGAGCTTTTTAAGGTATGGACTGAATTTTTAAATATTTACATGAGCTTCTGCTTCAGAGAGTAAATGAACACCAACTAAAAATTATCTGTTGCAGGGCAAACTGTTATTTATGAGCAGCTAACCGGATACTGAAGATGTCTGTATTGTAGGTTGTTGTGCCATGTAGTCCAGTAGAAATTCACTAATGTTTCATAAGTATTTGCTGCCTCCATCATCAGGGCACTGAGTGGAGAGGCAGCATGCACCTCTGAATGTCAGTAATCTTCTACCAGACTACATGGCACAACAACCCTAAAAAGTCAACCATCTTCATACTTGCTGTCACAAGAACCTCAAATCTCACTAACCTGACACTGTCAAAAGTACTTAGATTAATAATCCTGGAAATCATCACCATACATTACAAACACCGCCAAGTTTCCGTTCATTCCACAGTTTACCTGATACATTTTATGGAAAACAAAACAAGCAAACAGTATACACATAACAGGAGTTTAAACAATTACAGAATTTTGCTATACTATGAGCAGGTAACTACCGTATAAAGTTTGGAGCGCTTGCCAGCCTTGCTTTCTTCACGGCCCCATCCTCCGCCCTGCAGAGTTCGGTCCAAGAAAAGAGATGCTGGTGCCGGTCTCCGTTTTAGCATTCCATGCAGATGTGACAATATAGCAACAGCAGACAATGCATGATGCTGAACTGATGGAACTGAAGCATTTGAGGCATGTGACAGCAAGTTAGGGAGAGCTGGAGTTAGGTTGCAGCACTCTGGTGGCAACAAATTGTGTATCAAATGTAACAATTCACCTGAAACAAAAAGAAAAAAAAATGTGCGCTCTTCTTTTATCAAAATATTTTACTCTCAATATTTAGATATGCTCAATCCTGGCAAATTACTCCTCAAAATCCTTAAGTAGCGTAGTGTGGCTGACCCATGGTAACATTCACAGTATAGATAATAGATAGCTTGGTTAAAATTTAATGAGATTAAATCAGAAAATAGTTTAAAAATATAATTATGAGAAAATGTAAAATATGTGGTAGAATTTTAAAGACAACAGAGTCCTGTATTTGGAACTTTGGAACTAAAGACACATTGGCAAAGGAGAATGTTTCAGTTACTGTTACAGTACATTACATTAAACACCCAACCTCATTAACAAAACAGTTCAATATGCTACTTCCTTACATTAACTTTTGTCACCTCACTATAATTTAAATACAGTGAAACCTCGATGCATCATTTTCGGCGGGGGTGGGAAATAAAAACGATGAATGCGGGAAAACGATAGATGCGGGAAAGCATTAAAAATTTAAAAAAAAACAATGTTTCTCTTTCAAAGTTACTTCTTTTTACCAGATTAAATCAGAAAATAGTTTAAAAATATAATTATGAGAAAATGTAAAATATGTGGTAGAATTTTAAAGACAACAGAGTCCTGTATTTGGAACTTTGGAACTAAAGACACATTGGCAAAGGAGAATGTTTCAGTTACTGTTACAGTACATTACATTAAACACCCAACCTCATTAACAAAACAGTTCAATATGCTACTTCCTTACATTAACTTTTGTCACCTCACTATAATTTAAATAATTATATTATATGTCAATATTATTAAACACAGAAGCCTGCTTCAAACTGGCCAACCTTACAGTGACAACTTTTTTCAACAATACAGCAACTTAACTCATAACCGGTAGCTTGATTTCATCTTTCAAATTTCCATCAATGAGAATAATACTTGTGCAACAGGAAACCAGTAAATTGAAGGAGTTCATCAGATAACAAAACACGAAAACAACCAACTAAGCGTACAAATAAATTCAACATGTTTCCTATAACATGAGAAAGCAATAACAGAAATACGAGAATATTACAATGAGAGTTTTAACAACTAATCCTTGGCAATCCTAACAGTCCATAAGTTCTGAAAAAGCCAAGTATTTAAAGAGGGCCAGATTCAGTCCCATCTCAAACCATTAATTTCTAAAATAGAAATGTATATAAATATCTGACAGTACAACAATAACCAACCAACCCATCGCATGCAGTAATTCACGACAGTTCATCCATTTATCCGTACGTAACTGCACGTGTGCACATGAGCTTGAGAGAAAGAGGGAGGGAGGGAGGCAGAGAAACAGGATAAACAGATCAGTATGCAGGTTGTAAAACTACAAACAACTTAAATGCAGAATCAAAGATAATTACCTAACAGAACAGAGGCTCTGACACATATAAATGTATCTGAGGACACTATAACTTCAACTATTGCCTCCAGCAATCCAGCTTGAACAAATGTATAAAGAAGGATTGCGAGATGTATTTCCACAATGTTTGGCCTGCAAAGAAGAAAAATGTATAGTAAGTCTTGAAACGTTTTAAAATTAAGAACACCTGAATCTTAATCTCTAAGATCTAAAAATTGCAAGAAAACATTGGCTAACAACAAAACCCTCTTCTTATTCTTCTTCTCTCGCTCCCTCTCCACTTAAAACACAAAACAGTATGTGGTACAGCAAATTCCTCTCAAGCCACCTTAAAAGAGGCTACATTTATAACCTTGATAGCATCACTGCATATATTCCATCAATGTCTGAAGATAAGCATAATGTCCATTCTACTTTCATATCACATTCTGATTTTAAAAAGTGCACTCCAGTTTCAGTAAGAGCGTTGTACCATACATGCATTTGACAGCACATAAAACACAAGTTACTCTCTTTGTAATATGCAATGAAAGCATGCATAATATAAACAGATATTTAAAATTCATGATTAAATGAATTTCCAGAATGACTGGATTCAATACTCTAGATATAGTCTAGTAGAAGGAAGGGCTTCTTGTTGCAGGATCAAATCACTAGGTTTGCTTACTAAAATTAGGATAAACAATCTCTAATTCTAAATTTGACAATGTTTAACACATAAAGAATTCTACAAGAAGCAATAATGCACCAATACTGGCAGTAATACTGTATCCATCTCAGTTCTTTGGCTGCCATGTTCATATCAGTAAGAAAAGTGAATTAATGCATGGAAAGTCTTCAATGGTATGATGGCCATAACAAGTTTCACAAAAATCAGTCACACAGTGTGTCTGATGTCAACAGTTGAATCAGGGGTAAAGAAACAGCCAACATATGCAACTCACTTGACGCATTCTGAAGAAGGAACTTGTTCCTTTCGAATTCAAAGCAGACTGTTCATTTGCAGTCATATTTCACATGGTTATATTACCTGAACCTTGACAGATGTGGCAAAATGTCCCTCCCTTCAGCACTTATGAACCCGTCCTGCAGTTTCCAAGTGTCACGAGGGTGTGAAGGATCAACAGCCTCCAATGCCACGCTAAATTCGTCTGTCCACTCCGGCTGCGGCAAACCCAGTAGTTCATAAAGCAAGTCCAGAATGCCTTTCTATAACCAGAACACATTAACATCTGATTAATAACGAGCATAATATGTCTGACTTACACTGTTACTGGAGTCTCAGCTAGGGCAGTAGTAACTGAGAATTTTCATAAGTTTTCATCATCCCTCATGGTGACTAACAACAAGGTATCTATCTGACTGCCCCACATCACTATATATAAGAATCCTGTCCCTCAACTAATTTCAAATAATTTCATTTATTTGACAATGGATCAATAAATAAGTTAAGAACATTGAATACTCTCAAAAATGATAGTAATATAAAAAATACATTTAACCAACATGAACAACAAGAAAACATTTAAAAGCAACAAAAATGTGATGTAATCAGCATTCATCTCCAGTATCACCATATTAATAAGAACGTGACAATGTGTTATAAACAGAGACTAGCCTTAAAATCATAAAGTGAAAATAAAATAAATTTTCAAACCGGAGCACATTTTTAAATTCTATGTAACCTGTACTTTCATATGAGAGTACATATGAATGTGTGCCCACACATAAGCACAAGACTGACGGAGGGCAATAAACATAGGGATACTCTGAGAAGAGATGTCATCACACAGGGAAGTAGTAGAATAAGAGGCAGAGTGAAATTTCCATGTGGATCACATACTTCTCAACCTTCCAAGGTCCTAACAACAAACATGATGATGCACACTTTTCCTTCCAGCACCATAATAAAATAATCTTGGTTAACTGAAACACGTCAACTTGACTACTTACCCGAACTTCTAACTGCTTCAGGTACAATATATTTACTAGGGACCTAAGCCCAGAACTGTTTGCAGGATGACAAAAGTGAAGTATACCAGGCCAAGAACGCAAAACAGACAGCAGAACCAGCCTGCTGCAGTGGAACTGAACTTCTCGTTCATCCCTTGTGAAACAAGAAATCTCAAATAAATCTTTCAGAAATACTCTCAACAAAAATCACTGATTCATACAAAAAAGTAGTTCCCAATGGGAACTGTTACTGGTTCTACTCATACAATGCACTCAAAATAAGTAACTTTTACCTTATTTTTGTTTTCTAATTATGTAGTTCTGTTCTATTATGCACAAAGTAGAAGAATGTATGACAATGTAAAACTTGAATGTCAAGCCACTAAGGTAAAAATTATATTTCAACATGCATAATAAAAAACCTGGTTTCATTAAAATAACTGAAAAATGTATTAATTTTAATTTAGTCAATTCTCAAATTGATTACACAATGTATGTGTTTAGGGGGCAACATGGGAAGTAAAAGTATCTTGTAAATCTGAAGTTGTTATAATCTCAACATTTATTTTATAAACATTTCACACTGTGTCCACTGAGGTATCAATTCCTATCCCAAAGGGTTTTCAGAATGTCCTGTTGAAAGAATAAGATCTAAACAAGGATGACAAAACAATATCACAGCATATTATATTATATTAGTTTAAAATGATTACTAGCACATTCAAGGGATATTGTCACAATATCCAGTGATTTTAACTTGCTGCATTCTTTGTCTGAAATACAGATTTATTACTTCCAAGATAATTAAAAATAATTATTCTCCCAATGGCAGTTCTTTAGAGTTATGAATCACAAATCTTGATCTTGCCTGGTTCCATGCTAATATTAAACATTCTCTTCTTGTAGTCTGAACATTCTGAATATCAAAATTTACTGTTTCTTTGCTTCATCATTCACCTCACTTGGTCACTTGCTGTTTATACAGCAGTCTCACTCAACAGAGACAGTTCACACACCAACCTAGAGGATTCTCAAAGCTGCTGGAAGCAACCTGCTATGCACACAAAACTTGTCGAAAAGACTGCGGCTACACATGTGAGGGCCTCAGTGACATGATACACGGCTGACCACCCAGCTTCTAGAAATAACTAGAAGCCCCTGGGTGATGTAATCACAGCAAGCAGACATATAACACTTGATACTGTTTAACCCAATCAGTTTCTGCAGCATCAAAAAATAAGTGATTGATCAATAAACAACATTCATAAGTCAATTATATTGACAGCTGCCGAAAAACTTTTTAAATTCTTCACAACTGGAAAAGGACCAAAGTATGATCAGAATATCTGTATGCTTACCTATTTCGATCACTGTTCAGATGGAAGTCACAATATGGCGCAGCAAGTGACTGGAGGCAAATTCCAGCTTGGCTTCTTGTGGCTGGACTGTTCAATAAGAATAACAGCACCCCACAGAGTGACTCAGCAATGCGTGGCATCTGACAGTCCAGAAGATTTCGGATAACTGCACTCACTCCACCACACGAGATAAATGAATCAGGGTTTAGAACACCTGAACAGAATTCAAACAAAAACAGTTAGGCCAGGAACAGAATCCTTTTACAGAAATTATATTCTGTTTTGTAAAAGTTCTTTACAAAATACTATTTCTTACACATAGTACATCATAAAGTAATAATAATTCGTGGCCTAACAGCCCTCTGAGAGCCAAAGCCGACTAGTTGGCTGCTGGCCTCACGTTCACATGCCTAAGCAGAGGTGAACGATGGTTGACGTGTGGTGAATACGACGAACCCCCAGCCATTGCTAGTTTTCATGACCGGATTACGCTACCCATTGTAGCTCCCCAATTTCCTCACGATGCTGGGTTGGCACCGGTCCCATACACCGGTCGAAAATCTCATGAGAAATATCTTTCCCGAGCATGATGCCTCAGACCGCGCTGCTACGGTGCGGGACACATCTTAAAGTAATTGTCTGAAATCCTACAGACAGGGATGTAGCTGATGAGTGGGCACAAGACAAATGGACCTTTCTTAACTGATCTTCTCTCTTAAAAACACGGTTGCAAGTTGTAACCAACTTGGTGTAACTATTATGATTAGGATGCATTAACAAAAATGAACATCACAGTCTCATAGTGCAACATTCATCTTGCATACACACGCACACAACATATATACACCTAAATGAGACTAGGCTGAACCGAGTATATACTGTATTGCAGCTTGTTTATTAGTACACTTACATTTCTTTGATATTAGAATGTAACATGCTGCTATTACTGGTCATTTGATGAACCCAGTTTGAGACTGAACCTTATAAAACCGACTGCTATCATTCTCATCTAATTGTAGCAGCCAAATTATGTGTATTGTAGACTGATCTTTATTATGCACATTAACCAAAACAGTCACCCCAGAGGGTCCAGCAACAAACTTCATTACATAACATATTAAACATATGGCTATAATAACAGCAGCAATTTAAAGATTAAGAAGTAACCACTTTCATATCAATATGCTATTCCACAATCTTCTTGGTGGAATAAATTCAGTTTATATGTCTTTCAAACATGAAGCAGAAATGAATGCTGGACTGCATTATTAATAAAATAATTACTCACAGATTTCGGCAAGTGTTGCAAGGCAAGACCGTAGCATCCTGTCTTTTTCTTCAGCTGCACCATTCGCTAATGAAACTAGTGAGCGTACCAATGAAATGGGAAAGTCCATGGGAGCAAGTACAAGCATCCGACGAACCAGGCGCAGGGCCTGAACTCGCTCCGAATCATTTCTCAACATTAAATCCAAACTCCTGCAATAGTAGTTATTTAGGTATGGTAATAAATCCCCCACTCAACAAATTTATAAATAAGAAATAAGATTGCAAAGATGTACTCTTAGGAGTACACCGACACTCCAAACGTGTTTTTCATGCCATCACGTAGGTCAGTGTTGCATAATGATGTGTTAAACAATGAACTGCATAATTTTTGGACAACGTGATCAGAGGTAATCACTCTAAAATGTGTCCTAACAATGACCCCTCCTCCCCAATATTGTACATGTTCCAACAATGGGGCTATAACATGTTGCAGTCCAGTCTAATGATGAAATGTTTCCAAAATAAACTTCATGAAAATTTTCCATCACCTTAATTAATAAGAAACACAATGTTTTGGAAACTGGAGTGTCCCCATCCTTAGATATATCCTACTGTTAGGCCCAATTCAAAAAGCTAGTTCCTATCTGGAGATAGGTTCCAAAAGAGTAGGTTTTACCTGAAGATAGACAGATTAGTCTCCAAAACACCATAAACTTACACCATATGTTCAAATTACATACCGGCATATAAGGCAAGGATAACGAAGTTTGTTTAATATCCTGACATCCTTTTCTTCTTTCAAAAGATATCTTACAGCACGCAACGCTGCAGCACGAACTTGGGAAGCTTCATGTACTAAGGCTACACGTAAACTGAAAAGAAAAGTCAAATAATTTCATATGCATTACTTCCAAAGAGAAAAAATAGAAACACACCAGAACTGAATATGAGACGATGAGAGAACTAGTTACTACGTGTTTGGGTGAAACTACTGTTAATTTTTGTGCAGGTAAATGTAGGTGTATTGTAACATTTATGGTTCTCATGGCAGTAAAAATTTACACTGCAGTCTTCTGGGTTCTAACACCATGTACACCCATACATCATTCCCAAAGTTCAGGAATACAGAAGCAGCAAACTGTTCACGTATGTTGATAACCACTTTAAAGTTCAAAGTGTCATCACAAAAGACCACAGTCTAAACATGCGACATATTTCCAACTCACACTGGTCTACAAAATCAGCCTTCTTTGTTTAACTCTCTGCCATTTCATTTAAATTCACTGTACTAAGTTTCAAAGCAATGTCAAATTACATGACCTTCATACACAGAAGAGAACATTTTAATACTAATTGTAAATTTGAGGGCCACCATGAATGCCTGTACAGCAAGAGCTTGTAAGTCACTTTGCAGCTGAACCACACAAGAATGTTTGCTGTACTGGACAAAGATAGTTTGAAAACTGTTTGCAGTCACCAGCCAGATGATCATACTGGTATGAGGTGCAAACTCTGGGGCTGGCAGCATGATTAGGATAGAAGTGTGTTTCTTTCAAACAACTTGCTGCTGGGGTACACCTCTGAACTTAACCTCAGGCATGTGAGTGCACAACTCTTTTACATTCAACTGAAAGATGACCACAGTGTGCACAGGATGACGTGCATCTACTTGGACTTGCTACACCATTTGGGTTTATTCAGCTTGAAGTTTGATACTGGTTCTGATTTCTATATCTAGGTCCTTGTGGAATGAATTTGGGTCAGGAAGGGTGCCCTCCCTCTTGGTATCTGCAGAGTGGAGGCATAATTCATGTGGAGAATGCTCTTGAATTTCTGGGTCTGTGGTTGTTTGGGAACATCTACTGGTTTTTTATGCATCCTAGTTTGGTAAGGGCATGCACACTTTTAAACCATCAGTGTAAGATGCAGGTGGAATGATGTTTGGATGGCTATTTCAATGGTTGGTGGGTGGGAGATAGCGACATGGGCACGTGACTTTCACTAGTTCAGGTTGTGGTTTGAAGTGCTTCTTCCACACCATCAGGAATAGGAGCTCTTCAGAATGGACTTTTTGTCTTGCCATCTCTAGCAGACAGATTAGACACTCCCCCACTCACTGCTTGGAAGAACCCACCTCGAATGGAGCATGTCTCATTACTTGTGGTTTCTTTAATGACAGTGTCAGTAGCTTTGATAACATAGTATCTGATGGCAGAATGATTAATGAACAATAAATTTGAAAGGACAGGAAGGAAGCAGTCATGACCTAATTTAAAGTACATAACCATCCTGACCTTTACCTGGAGGAACAGAGGAAAAACATAAAACTCAGGATAGCCAGTCTCTGAGCCCAGATTTGAACCCAAGACCTCCCACACACAAAACAATAATGCTCGGCATTAAACATGGCACAAAGGTAATTTTTCTCCAGTCTAATACACAGTTTGTATGTTAAAAATTCTGTCTGACACTAAATTTCATAAATAACTTGAACATTGCAGAATACATAGGTCATAAAGCACACACATATGAACATAATATTTTTCATTTTATGAATGTAATAAGACCATAAAAAATGCTTGTCAGTTACAACTGTCAAGAATTTTCTGGTTGTAGCCAAGAACAACTTCTTATTTTAGCTTTACTGACTCTGGTGCAATTTAACCTCAAACTTTAATCACATACATTAAACAAACAAGCAGTTTCTAGTATCATTCACAATGGACGGCCACAAATTCAAATGGTGACACAATGCCATGACTATGTAAAGAGTGAAGAATAATTGTATGAAGATTTTAAGAAAGCACATTTACTTTTACACTTATTCCCCATAAAACACTACGTTGCTTCAGCTGTAATGGAATACAACACTGACAGGTAATCACAAATGTAATTAATACAGGTAGCCCTCGGTTTGCGCCGATTTTGGAACCAGCAACTCAAAAAGTGAAAAAAATATTATACTACCTCGTACTGATTCTTATACTAAATCTCTGCAATTACGTATGTTTCGTTAACGCGAATTTGCTCCAATGAGATCAATGAACCAGTAAAATATATTTTTTTAAATTTCCTTTATTTTATTTACATTATTTTCAGAGCTTTAAATATAATGCCATTATATTACTCGTCAATATTTGGGTGCTGGCAACGCATGTCATTGACTTCCCATTGATTTACATTGTAAAAGAATTTCAATTTACGCCGGTTCGTCCAGGAAAGCATCCCTGGCGTAAATCGAGGGCTACCTGTACATTCATAAAAAGGCTATGTTTATATTGTAGCATTCAAATTATGTTTTCTCTACTATATACTTATTCATTACCATTAGCACAGCAATATGTTCTCAGAGATCAGTTATTTTTTGGTATTCACAGCAACATATTTTGACATTAATGTCATCTTCTTACACACTTCTATTGCCAAACAAATATAGTGCACCAGCTTTTAGTACATATAAAACATACAAAATAAAACTATATTAAGATTTTTTATAGTTGTGCAATATTATTATTACTGAATATCAAAGTATAGTATTATATGCACATTCATAAACACATAATAAAAAACATTATAATAACAAGAGAAATAATCCATAAGGGCTAAATGGAAAATAAGTGATAACAGAGAAGTAGTATTCCAAGCATCCAACAGAAATTAACAACTATAACAAATGTTGATTTTAACAATTATTAATATATTTAACACTATGTAAATAACCACACAGTATAAAATGCACTTCTGTAACAGGTAAAGTAAGATTACACATAAATATTCATTTAAAATAAAATAAATTAATAAGATACATCAGCAGTAATAATAAGACTAAAGAAGCAGATAAAAACTGAACATACTGGTAAACAGTTTCACTTGAAATGTATCAATCAAAAGCTGGAAGACTAAATTAGTTCAGGAACAGAAGTATGACCATAAAATGAAATATGAATGTCAAAACATAATTAATCTTTGAAAACAAACTGTTATAGATGGTAATAATAAGTAATACAGTAAAAGACAGTGAGCTTGTTAAAAGCCATCATCTCTTTACCATAAAGTCATTTCAATTTCTATATGAATGAAAGGTACGATACACTATTCTGAGAGTTCAACAAAATCATAAGCAGAATACCCTTGTTACTTGATAATGCCATCATTGCACATTTCATTAGAAATAATATAAACAAACATTAATGGCATCTGAATTTTAACACTGCTACAAGAACTGAAGCAGACTGGTCAGTCCCAATCCCAAGCAAATAATAAGTAAGCATCATGATGGAAAAAAAAATACAAACAACTGCATATAAGTAAAACTGAAATTTCCAGGTTACAGGCAAATGTGATACTATCCTTAAACCCTTAAGAACATTTAGTTCTTCATCATTTATAAGTTTTGATTCTAACTAAAGGGTTCTTTCAATGCTGACACTACAGACTACAAGAAACATAGACACTTCATCAAGGAAAGTTTTTAAACATCAGTGAATGAAATAAATGACTGGACACAGCTGACTATGGAAGTCCAATAAACTGCTAGAAATTATGGGTCATATTTGTCTAGTTTAGCAGGCAAAAATGACTCATTTATAGTACCTTTCTGAAACAATAAATAACATTTCCCTCCAAACTTCAAACATTAGGATCACATCCATAAATTATACAAACAGATGTTCACTCACAGCTGTCAACACAAGCTAACCTCAACACAACACACAATTATAAGGTGGCATAAGGATTGTTAGAAAAAATATCAAACCCACCAGCATTGTAAGTCTTCTATGCTATACCCAAGGCCTCCGGCCCCAATGTCCGACTTCGTGATCAATTTGACAAATGCACTTAGGTAACTAAACCGCTTCCCCTCAGTTAGTCCTTGTTTCTTGCAAATATGTGAGAGAATCTCGCGAGCATTTTCATTTGCATCTGAAAATAATCAAGTGACCGATGAAATAATCATTATAACCTCTCTTAATGCTGTTGCGAATAACGTATTTAAACTCCAGACAGGGAACCGACCTACCTTTCGAAAAATCTAGTTGCACTTCATCTTCGCTGTCATGCCGACCTACAACAGAAAACACACATTCATAAAGATTTTGACATATTCGGAGCAAACATATCTTCTTCGCAATGGTATTAAATTATCTTACTACGTGTTGAACGTCCTGATCGCAGAATTCTCCCCCTGAACATCCAACTAGCCATCGCCATAATCCGTACTTCTAACAGTCGCCTACATTGATTGCGCAACGAAAAGACCTAAACGCACATCCATACATATCGAAACTCCTTATTTCCTGATATGCTTTTGCAGCAGTAAATACCACTGAACCATGTAAATACAGTCATATAATTGCCCATCATATTCCCCCACAACGCTTGCTTTATTTACAAATATACATTACAATAATAATAGATTAGGAGTAAACATTTTTACTTCAATGTATAATGTACAGTGTCATCTACTGATAGAATATAATACCTTCAAGAGGTTTCCGTTCAAACCTCGAAAGCTCGCGTAGTCCTTCCACATAATCTAAAAACATAGTTTTCGAATTTACATTCATTTAAAGCGGTATTCGAGAAAAAATAATTTCATGTTTGAGCATCTGGGTCGTCGATCACGCGCGAAACCGTGGGGCCTCACTGCTCTGGCACTGGGCCGTTGGTTCGAATCTCACCTGAGACATGAATGTTTGCTGGTGCCTTTCAGTTTTGTGATGTCCTGTGAAGGCAATGCCAGGACCAACGCAAAAGTATTTTGCGCTCAAGGCGAACCTTCAGCAAAAACGGACACACGAGTTTAATAGTCAAAGATTTAAAACCATCCTCCTGACTTTGCTGTGACAACCAGCTGATGGTTAGCTGGAGTTAGGTTCAATGGCCGGAAGAAAGTGGACCCAGTAATAAATTAGGTAAATGACAAACATCCAACAAATATTCACTGCAAGCTTCTAATTCTTCAATGGTTCCTTCACATAGATTACCTCACCTTTTTTCCTTTCCCCATTTCATGTGGACATGTTAGCTTTTACTCTCCTCTCACATGCACAAGTTCATACTAGTGACGCAATAAACACTAAAATTCAGTTCTAAAGTTCGGATAAATGTAGCTTTTATTAACAATTTTTCTAAAGTAACACCACAAATACATCTTCATCAGTAATGCATAAATCTTACAACTAAATATCATTGGTCTATATTACGTCATGGCTTATGAAAATATGAGTACATTTTTCTTTGTTACAGAGTCCTTGTGAAATACCTTGGAAATAAACCTTTCCATAGCTCTGCAACACGGTCGCATGCACTTGAACACGTTATTACAGAACTCAATGTTCACAATGCTATAAGGACTTTTTCAATGCCAGTAATATATAAATAATCAATACTAACACTAATGTTGTGTATTGCACCGTAAATATATTCATAAATATCACCACAAGAGACAGACAGTTATTATCTTCTTGGAAATAACTTATCACAATGAGTACAGACTTTTATCTACGCCATGTTCATAATTGACCTCACGAGTACAATATTTCATATATATGTTTATAATCTATGTCCATACCCAGCTTCACATGACTATCTGCAATTATCCATTAGTAGTCGCTTTCGAGTTTGTAACTAAATAGGCAACAGACTTCATATGGCCGTAACGTTTCCCTTATAAAGTAAAGTTTGTCCCTCTATGCGCCATATAGGCGCTTGGGGTGAGAGGAGGTATAGCTCCTCTCTTCCTTGACCTCGGCACTAGATGGGGATGAGTGGTCAGCATCACGCCCCGGCCGGCTTTACCCCCGGGAAAAGACCCCGGTACCCATTGTAGAGGAGGCTGGGTGGGC